ACTTTTGACCTAACTCTTCCTATCACATTGATTTAAATAGGGTACCATATTGATATAAAAATATAAAGAGAAAGAAAACCTATTTTATTTGTTGTTAATAACATGAAGTGCATTTAATAATACATCGTGTCAAGCATTCCCAAACTGGGGTTCGTGAAGGAACTGCAGGGGGTTTGGGGCAAGTTTTTTTTTTTTTTCCATCTATAAAAAAGATGAAATATTTGTTTACCTGCATGTCATGTGATCATTAACCAAAGCCAGAGAACAATGAACATGCAAATGCAAATGTGTTAATTAATTATTAACTGATTACCTTAAATTTCAGGGGGGTATTTTAAGTAAATATTAGGTGAAAGAGGTTCAGTTGACAAAAAGAAAAAAAAAGGAATCCCTATACATAACCCTATAGTAACATGAATTTGTGTATTTTAGTATGTTTGTAATGTAATTTATAAATGTAGTCATGCAATCATAAACTGTAGTCAGACTACAAGTATATTAAAATGTAGTCTCTCTCTCTCTCTCTCTCTCTCTCTCTCTCTCTCTCCCTCTCTCAATTTTTTCAATTCATATTGCTTTATTGGCATGACATACTTAGGTACATATTGCCAGAGCATTGTACATAGCAGAATAAAAAAAAACAAAAATACATATAATATACATCCATAAACAAACAAAGCAAAAAATACATGTAAAATACATCCATATACATATTTATATAAACATTGATGGTACTACTAATGTAGATGTGTTCACTCTTTACCTCTTAGTTTGTGGTATTTATAAATATGATGTGCTACCAAAGAGGAAGTAGGTCCTTCACCAAGTAATATTCTTAATTTGTGGTTTTCATGGAGCGACTGGAACTCAGGAATGTTCTGCTGTATTTGACTGTACAGTGAGTCTCTTAAGGATGTGTATTTGTCACAGTGGAGGAGGAAGTGTTCCTCCGTCTCAACTGACCCTGATCTACATTCATTACAGAATCGCTCTTCTTTAGGTAACCACGTCTTTTTATGTCGTCCTCTCTCTATGGCCAGCTGGTGGTCACTCAGTCTGTACTTCATCTGTGTGTTATATTCCTGACTGAGACCAGATAGTCAGCCAGACTGTACTCTCTGTTGAGTTTCAGATAACATTGGAGACGACTTTGGTCTTTGGTTTGTTCTTTCCAATGCTGTATGTATGTCTCCTTCTCTTCATTCATAATTTCTTTGATTCTCCCATGTTTTTCAGGGTTGGTGATATCGAGTGCTTTGTTAGTCAGATCTGACACCATTACACAAAGATGACTTTTTTGAGCACTCCTTTTTTGTGTTTTTAGTGCTTTAAAATGAAGAGAATCTTCCGAACTAGAGTTTAAGTGGATCCAGAACTTTAAAACTCTTTTTTTTTAATTATTAGATTTAGGGGGAGACGGCCTAACTCGGCTCTGCAGGCGTTATTAGGCGTGTTTCTATGCACATGAAGGATGCTTCTGCAGAACTCTACATGCAGAGCTTCTAAAGCGTGTTTGTGCCAATCCTTATGGCTGTAGTTACTCGCTGGGCCCCAGATCTCGCTTCCATACAGGGCAATAGGCAGTATGACACTATCAAAAATCTTTGTCCAAATTCTGATGGGGATGTTTATTTTGAATAATTTCGTTCGTATGGCATGCAGTGCCCTGCGGGCTTTTGTAAGTAATGTTTTAATTGCCAATTTGAAATTTCCAGTGGGAGTTAAAACCAGACCAAGATAATTATATTGTAAAGCATGTTGAAGTGTGGTGTTGTTTAAAGTAAATAAATGTTTATGTTCTAGATTTCTGGTTTTTTTCTGAAATATCATAATTTTAGTTTTTTGGATGTTGACGTCTATTTAGTTAAAATGTCAAAGTTGTTCTGGAGATCTTCTGGTGTTTTAGATAGAATTAGCAAGTCGTCTGCATACAGTAAATATTTGACTTCTGTGTCGAATAATTGTAGTCCTGGACTGTTTGATTGGTCCAGTAGATCTGCCAGTTCATTGATATATATGTTAAATAAAGTCGGGCTGAGGCAGCAGCCCTGTCTCACTCCTCGCTGTTGAGAAAAATAGTCTGTCCTTTGCTGTCCAATTTTTACTGCACATTTATTTTGGTTATACATGTTTTTAATTAAGTCATATATTCTACCCCCTATGCCACTTTGAATGATTTTATAAAACAATCCATTATGCCAAATGGAGTCAAATGCCTTCTTAAAATCTATGAAGCATGCAAATATTTTTCCATCTTTCTTTTGGTGTACAAGTAAATATTTGACTTCTGTGTCGAATAATTGTAGTCCTGGACTGTTTAATTGGTCCAGTAGATCTGCCAATTCATTGATATATATGTTAAATAAAGTCGTCTCACTCCTCGCTGTTGAGAAAAATAACCTGTCCTTTGCTGTCCAATTTTTACTGTACATTTATTTCGGTTATACATGTTTTTAATTAAGTCATATATTTTACCCCGTATGCCACTTTAAATGATTTTATAAAACAGTCCATTATGCCAAATGGAGTCAAAAGCCTTCTTAAAATCTATGAAGCATGCAAATATTTTTCCATCTTTCTTTTGGTGTACATGTTCATTTATTAACGTGTGTAGTGTGTGAATATGGTCAGTGGTTCGGTGTTTAGGGAGGAAGCCAATTTGAGATTTGCTGATGACATTGTGCTGCTTTAAGAAAGATGAAATCCGAGAGTTGATTATTGAGCAAAATACTTTTCCCAAATTACTGGTTACACAGATCCCTCTGTAGTTATTAGGATCTGTTTTGTCTCCACTTTTAAAGATCGGAGAGATGAGTCCTGTGTTCCAGACCTCAGGAAAAACGCCTGAACTCAAAATCAAGTTAAAAAGTTTGAGTAATGCAGTCTGAAATTCAGGAGAGCTGTTTTTAAGCATCTCATTTTTTATGTTGTCAGGGCCACAGGATTTTTTACATTTGAGGGATTTCAGTTTTCCACCAGGTTCTTGTTGGGTTATTGGATAATCTAGTGGATTTTGATTGTTTTTGATACATGATTCAAGAGCATTCAATTTTTCAAGAACTTTTAATTGGTTGGGATTATTCAGAGGGTCAGTTTGATGTGTATAGAGCTTCTCAAAATAATCTTTCCAAATTTGACCATCTTGTATAGCTAGTTCTTGTGGCTTTGTATTGTTTAGACTGTTCCACATGCTCCAGAACTGACCCTGATCAATTGTGTTTTCCATCTTCTGAAGTGTGTTGTTATAATAATCCAATTTCTTCTGTCTCAGTGTGTGTTTGTATTGTTTCAGAAGTTCTGAGTGCTTTGAGCGTAATTCTGAGTTGACTGGATCTTTGTGTTTTTGATTGGAAATGAATCGTAGCTCTTGTCTTATTGTTTTACAGTCATGGTCAAACCACCATGGGGTTTTTGTTTAGCTCTATTTTTGTGTTTATATGTGGCAGTTTCATTTAAATTAGCCTTTTTTTGCTATATTTTCAAAAATGTCATGAATATGTTTAATTGCTAAATTTATTCCTTTCCAATTATTATCATATGTTGAATTGTTAAACAGTGTTATGGAATTGACTATTTCATTTGACTTCAATACTTTAATATATGTTTCAGCAGCACTACGAGTCCATCTATATGGTGTTTTGAGTTTATGTAGATGAATTGGCTTTTTATGAATTTCCCTTGATTTGATGTTTTCCTCTTTAATGAAAAGATTGATCTGGCTGTGGTCAGACTGAGCTTTGACGGTAAATGCACTGAAATGGGAAGGGCTTATATTTGATATGGCATAATCTACAACACTGTTCCCGAGATCTGAGCTATATGTAAATTGTCCACAGGAATCTCCTTTGATTCTACCATTGAGGATATAAAGACATAAAGTTTGACAAAGGTGGGCTACCTCTTTCCCGTGCCTATTGACTCCAGTCTCCTGGTTATTTCTTCTATAGCGTACTGAAGAGACCTTGGGGTATATGTGTGAACAGATGTTTATCTCCTGAATTATCAATATAGTCTAATTCTGAGCCAGTTCGAGCATTTAAATCTCCACATAGTAAAATTTTCCCCAGAGTTTGATATTGATTAATTTCTTCCTGTAAAGTGTGGAATACCTCATCGTCGTAGTATGGGGAGTCTGATGGAGGAATATAAATTCCACAGATAAAAAGGTCTTTATCTAGAATTCCAAAGCTTTTATCCAATTTTAACCAAATGTGATTTTTGCCTTGCTGTACTAGTGATGTAAAAGGGGCCAGGTCATTTTTTATCCATATGACTAAACCTCCACAATCTCTACCACGATGTATTGAGTGGAGTTTCCATGAGGGCACTATGATTTCAGAGTAACTTGCAGGACACTGAGTGGACACATCTGATCTACTCCATGTTTCTGTTAGAATTAGGATGTCACATTTGTGATGCTATTTAAAAAAATCTGTGTTTGTGCTTTTTAATCCAAATGTTTTAGAGCACAAACCCTGAATATTCCAAAAGCTAATATTTAACATTTGATATGATCAGGGATTAAGCAATACTGCTGTTTATCTGGAGGCAAAACCAAAAATAAAACCTTTTTATAAATAAAATAAAACAAAATAAAATAAATAAAATAACTAAGTAATAGTAATAGTAGAGCAAGTAAAAAAAGGTAGTCAAACTGATTAAAATAAATCATTGTGAATAATGACTAAAAATAATAAAAATAATAATATAGTAATAACAATAACAACAATCGATAATAAAAATAATCACAATGATAATAATCATTGTGTTGTGATCAATCATCGTAGATTTTAGTTGAGCATTTTGTTGCAGAGAAGGCTTAGCAGTCGTTTAATTTCTCCCATATCACTAATGGGAAGTTCCTGAGCGGATGATGAGGGCGTCTGCTGTGACAGTACCTGGGCATAGTTGCGTGTCTGCTGGGATCTGCCTTCAGCGAAGAATAATAAAAATAATCACAATGATAATAATCATTGTGTTGTGATCAATCATTGTAGATTTTAGTTGAGCATTTTGTTGCAGAGAAGGCTTAGCAGTCGTTTAATTTCTCCCATATCACTAATGGGAAGTTCCTGAGCGGATGATGAGGGCGTCTGCTGTGACAGTACCTGGGCATAGTTGCGTGTCTGCTGGGATCTGCCTTCAGCGAAGAGCTGACTCTCCTGCTGTCTGTGAGACCCTCCTGAAGATCTGCCTTCAGTGTAGAGCTGACTCTCCTGCTGTCTGTGAGACCATCCTGAAGTCCTGGGTTGTCTGTGAAGGTCTCGTGGTGGTCTTGAGCGAGATGAAGGTCCAGATGGCTCGAACGGCTGCATTCTCACATTTCTTTTTGCTCCTTCATAGCTGGTTGTTGGGAAGCGTCCAAGGGCAACATCTTTGATAGCTTTGGCAAAAATCCTGACTCCATCCTGATTCAGGTGGAGCCCGTCATACAGGTGCCATGGTCTTACAGCGCTGTGATGGACTAAGTGCACGTTGGGCAGACTGGAGCAGGAGTGACGGACCTCTTCGTTGATCTGATCGATCACAGAGGGTGGGACGTCGAGCCGTGGGAGCAAGGTGGAGACCAGTACACGTGAAGTGGGGAATGTCTGTGAGGCTTTCTCTGCCATCTCATGCATTGCCTTGGCTGTACCTTCATTTAATCTATGGAGGTCATTCGTACCTGTATGAATGATAATACACTGCGGGCTGCCGAGATCATCATTAGTGAGCAGTTCATGAACGCGTTCTGTGTTTCTGCAGTGGAGCGCTAGAACTCGCTGTCTGGGGAAGAGTTTCTTGGGTTCAATGTTCTTTCCAATGGAGTCCATCAGAAGAAGTACAGAGGCCTGAGTCGCTGGTGTCCTGTGTGACGGCGGCGGTGTGTGAGTGTGCTCCTTCACTGAGGAGTCTGCAGGTGCAGAGCTGAGTGACGGCGATTCATGATGGAGCCGCAGGTTACTCTCAGTGCAGCTGTCTTTGGGAGATTCGCTTTCCTTGTTTTTAAGCTGTAAAGACATTGCAGTCTGTTCTTTCAGCTTTTCTTTTAAGTCATGGATGTTTTTCTCAAACTTTCTTTCTCTTTGTATTGAGTACTCTTTCATTTTTGAATCTTATAGAGCTGTGATGGACTAAGTGCACGTTGGGCAGACTGGAACAGGAGTGACGGACCTCTTTGTTGATCTGATTGATCACAGAGGGTGGGACATCGAGTCATGGGAGCAAGGTGGAGACCAGTACACGTGAAGTGGGGAAAGTCTGTGAGGCTTTCTCTGCCATCTCATGCATTGCCTTGGCTGTACCTTCATTTAAACTATGGAGGTCATTCGTACCTGTATGAATGATAATACACTGCAGGCTGCCGAGATCATCATTAGTGAGCAGTTCATGAACGCGTTCTGTGTTTCTGCAGTGGAGCGCTAGAACTCGCTGCCTGGGGAAGAGTTTCTTGGGTTCATTGTTCTTTCCAATGGAGTCCATCAGAAGAACTACTGAGGCCTGAGTCGCTGGTGTTCTGTGTGACGGCGGCGGTGTGTGAGTGCGCTCCTTCACTGTGTCTGCAGGTGTGTGACGTCGCTTCATGATGGAGCCGCAGGTTACTCTCAGTGCAGCTGTCGTTGGGAGATTCACTTTCCTTGTTTTTAAGCTGTAAACATATTGCAGTCTGTTCTTTCAGCTTTTCCTTTAACTCGTGGATGTTTTTCCTCAAACTTTCTTTCTCTCTGTATTGAGTCCTCTTTCATTTTTGACATTTCAGCCTTAAGTTTCATGTTGATGTTGTGCAAATCCTTAATTTCAGCCTTGAGATTATTGATGGTGAATTCATCTGGGCGGCTCAGGATTAGCTGCTTTAATTCTGACACCTCCATCTCTAGAAGAGCCATTTTCTGGGGAAGACACTGGAGATAACTGTGAGCGTGTGTGGCCTGCTCAGTCATCAGTTCATCAGATGGGGCCGGAGATGTGCTGACTGGAGAGTAGGGCAGCACTTCATTCTCATCTTCAGATTCCTCTTTAACACTGCAAACTGTTTCCTCCTCAACTGTCTGCTTTAAAAGGGGAAATGATTTTTCAAAATCTTGGAGACTAGCTTCATTCCCTTGAATTAAGACCGTTCCACTGTTGTACAGATTGATGGTTTGGAAATGGGAGGAGTGGTCAGCTGATTCAAAAATGCAGATCTGACTTCCTTTACAGATTCCCTTCTTCTTAGTGTAGGGGAAATATTTACTAATAACACTTATCCATATGAGGCTCCTCTCTGTATAGAAGATCAAGTTTGTCCTCTTTTCTTGAGATGTCATATCAACATGAAGAGATTCGGGCTGTTCATGTAACAGTGTCTGTTTAAATGCTTTTCTTTTGTCTCCTTTAATGTCTGCAGGATAAACGATCTCCATGGCAACCGCTGAATGCGTCCATCCTGTGTTGATGTAAGCAATGTTTGTCTCTTCTTGAGTTGCGCAGCTGTACCGTACTGATGATTGTTCGGCTGTAGGCTATGTAGTTGCTCTGATCGCTCTCACAGCTGCCGATGCCACTGTAAATCGCAGTTGCAGCTCCTCCAATGAAGTGATTGAAAGTTATCGCTTTGTTTCTGTACTCTTATATTTCCATAAGTGTTAAAACACAGGTTTTTACGAGCTTTTGCCTCAATTAACAGAAGTACTTTATATGAATTAATAGGAGCTCATATCTAGTGCGTGTGTTCAGAATCTTGAATTCTCTCTCTCTCTCTCTATATATATATATTATATATGCTTTTTATCTCATTATCAAAAACTGGGGGGAAAAATAAATAAACAACAGTTGATTTAAAATATGGTATCTTTCATTACAGACAATGCCATTACATGTCTTGGATACAGATGCGTGAATATGGTAATGAATTCTCTTCTAAGTGTTGTATGGAAGAGAAATGTGAGAATGTTGCTTGATAAGTGGCATCACACTGTGGGTGATATACAGATGTACTTTTATTTCTTCTTAGTTCTTTCGGCCCTATCAAATACAGTCTGCCCTATAAATATATCATAACAAACAAAATAACCAATAATTGCAAAATAGGAAACCAGTAATGCCGATTGCTGCTCTGTCTGCATTACAGCCTTCATTAAAAGTTAAGCCTAAGAAAGTTAAAAGTTTGTTTGAATATATTTGAAATATACATACTTATGACTCAAAGACAGCAATCCCCAAAGCTGTTGAAAGGCATACTGTAGATAAAGAGAAGTTTCAGTGAAGTGAGATCAGAGTTGAGAGCTTAAGGCTTGATGTATGGATTCAGCAACATAGTCCAGGTTACGGCTGTTAATAGCACTGACATTCAGACACCCGTTGGATAACAAGTAGATATGTTTCTTCTGAACCAAGAACTCAACCTGTTGAGCTGATAGAGAATATGAAATTGATTATTTACAGTGTTTCAGTCATGCATTTACATGTATACTGTATTATTGAGCTCCCCTTTGTAATGTTAGCGCTGTTCACTATTATGTATCACTTACTATCGAGTCCTAAACAGCAATAAAGCCCTCCAGGTTTTATTATGTGATCCCAATGCCACGGACAACCCAATAGCCTGAGTCTCTCACGCAGACGCTCTCGGATTAGCATGCAGTGCTCAGCGATGGCCTTCACACTCTCCTGCCTGAGAAAAACTTCAGACTCATTTGCTGAATAATAAAAAGAGCAGTTTTTAACTGCAGGACGGTTTTTGCATAAAAAATTAGAAAGCCTTGGGCACTTGTTCATCTCAAAATCATAATCACAAGTGTTATGTTCAGATCGAGATGTTCTTAATTTGCAATGGCAGTTTCAGGGGTAATTGATTTCTCATTGCATTTGAACATTAAGCTTAACTGAAATGCTCATGGTCAAGAACAAACTCATCTGTTCAGGCAGCTTTGATGTAAAGAGACTGTGACAATCAGATGCTCTCATAGTAAAGTGGAGGTTTTTAAATGCTTTGTTTATTCATGGCCACATACACGTAAAGCGTGTTTGTATACTTAAGCCACACTTACAATGTATGAATGTCTTTGCATTAGGCCTATGTGACAAAATGTCAAACCAAATGGCAGAGAAAATACAACAAACCATTCTTAATCAAATCATTTCACATAGAGTTTTAAATGATAAAACAGTAGATATACTGTTCAAAACTAACATAATGTAATACTTTCTGGTTGTCAAACGTTAGTGGTCATACATTTAATGTGATGAATACCTGATTAGGATACTTGTGTAAACTAGAGGAGGACTGACCGCATATATCTACTAAAAATCACCTTCACAGCAGCTTGATAAAAATGATTGCAAAATAGTTAAAAAATTCAAGTTGCATCTGAGAGAAACTCATCATAGCATAATTTGTTTGCACATGGCATTTGGTTTGATATTTAGCATGTACTATCATTTAATGGCATTCAAGCTTGTTTACACAACGGAATAAAAAAAAGAGATAATTGTGACTTTGTGACAATTTTTTCTCACAGTTCTGAGTTTACATCTCACAATTCAGATTTATTTTCTCTGAACTCTGTTAACATCTCATAGTTGTTTTTCTGCTACAAAATAAAAAAGGTAAACATGACTTCTAATCTCAAAATTAAAACTTTTTTCTTGCAATTGTGAATTTATATCTAACATGCTGACTCGTCTTCTCTGAATTGCAAGTTTATGTCTTGTAATTTGGCATTTGTATCTTACATTTCTGTGTTTTTCCTCAAAATCGTGAGAAAAAATGTATGAATTGAGAGAGAAAGTTTGCATTCACCTTTTTATCTTTTATCCAGTAGCGGAAACAAGTTTCCATTACATTCATCGTATTAAGCATCCAAATACTTTGTGAGGTCACAATATATTATGTTTAAATGAATGAATGAATCTCAATGAAAAGGTTTATGACATTATAAAATGCTTTCAAAAAATTACAATTGGATTTATGCATTTAGGAGCTAGAAAACTCAAGTTAATTGTTTGCAAATGCCACTTGGTTTGATACTCTGTATGTACTGTTTGTGTGACTTAGGCATCCAAATACTTTGTGTGGTCACTACTGTATATATATTAAGTACTATGTTTTTTTAAATGAATACATACAATTCTCAAAGGTTTATAACAATGCCAGGTTTATTAGAAAGCTGGACAAGGAACAAGATAGAGCAGAGGTGAAATGCAAAGAACATACAGTACAGACATTAAATGAGAATTTTAATCATGTCAAAAATTATAAATGAAAGGAATAAGTCTTACCACTCAACTAGATGGGCAGGATTACTTAATATGGTGGCAACCACCCTGGCCCCTTCCATCGGTGGGCAGGACCAAAGCTTCTAAACAAGTTTCTCAGCTTGAGACCGTACAGCCAGCAGGTTCTGCTTTAACACGCAGAGAAGATGCCCCACTCTCTCACCTGTCAACATGAATATTCAATATAATTCTTGTAGCTTAACATGTAAATCACATTTAGACATGTGTCTGGAATAATATCTAAACTGTAACCCAATTACAAATGGTAAACACACCATAAAGGCCAAAATTGTGAGAAAAAGATTGAGCGCAGAGAAGTTCAAGCCCCAAAGACACACAGTGGCAAACAGGCCATGTGTCTTGCTCAAGTGAACCACTGCACAAGCCTTGGGCAGACATCAAGAAGAATGGAAATAACTGGTGCTTCTAATCGAGAGAAAGAGACAGAATGGGATTGAAAGACTGACTTATGCTTAACAGGTGCTTCATTCAAGGAACAATTAAATATCAAATGCTACTCATCCACTCTGTGGCTATTACTGGTAAAAGCTTGAACTATGCTATAAACTAATTGTGATGAAATCAAAGCCATTAATAATCAGTCTATTAGGGTTCAACAGGGCTAAAAGCACACCAGGGTAATAGGCTAATTTGATTTTATTCTCCTCTAAACCATTAGATGGCATGAAAACTTGCAGCACTTTCGTAAACATCTGCGTTTTTGGCTGATCCTAGGCGCTTGTGATCCTTGACGCTTGTGGCCAGCAATGCAAAGTAGATTCTGTGCTATAATTTGATCTAAAATTGAGTGTTTTATTATGTAGCAAATGAGAATCAATACAATTATCAAATATGTTTTGAGAAAAAAAAGTTAATGATTTTCTATTTTGTTCAAGGTGATTATTATTATGATTATGATTATTAATTATTTATTTTTAAATAGCTGAAGAATGTGTGAAAGTATGGTATGGTAAAAAAAGTTAATGATTTTCTATTTTCTATTTTGTTCAAGGTGATTATTATTATGATTATTAATTAATTAATTAATTTTAAATACCTGAATAATGTGTGAATGTGTGGTATTTG